GTTTTGTTGGAACACATTAGACTCCCCAATTTAATCTTCTGAATATGACTCTCTCTGAATACTTCATTCAGACAGTAAATTATTGTTTGTAACTGAAGACTTAGCTAATGGAATCTAAAATCATCGACATAATCTGATGACGTTTGTCCCACTAAGGAAAGCTATGCTTTATTACATACATGATGACATATTGCATTCATCTGGTAGTTCTGTATTACTGAGCTTACCAAAGCTCACTTTTTACTCACCATTTCAGGTTAAATGAATTGATTCAGTGTAGTTATCAGCTTCAATTTTGGGAGTTCCTTTGGCTTTGCTTGCAAAGTACGGTACAATGTATAATTAAGGGCATGTAGGTCACATTTATATATATATATATATACTGAGTCTGAAACTTGTATGATTTTAATTTTGTTTGTAATATAAGAATGATTTTTTGAACTTGTATTTTATTTAGAAATTGTTTCATGATTTTTCACATTTTAAGAAAAATTTTAATTTTTTTTAGATTTTTATTGTGGGTCGCTCTGGTTCCCTGATGTGACACCTCGGATCGGATCACCCACATTGGTATGAGGGTGTTATAGGAACAATGTAATTTATCCATATTGTTAATTGGTAGGGAAACTAACTCAGTGGCTGATATACTTGCAGGATTAATTCGAGGTCACTCCATTTGGTGAAATGATGTTTACTTGACAACCTCTTGAATTGATTACATTGTATCTCGGAAGATTAACTACTGAAATTTGAAAACTCTTAGGGTTCATTTGGTTCTAAAAAAATAGGCTCTTTTCATTTTCATAAAAAATAGAAAATGTTGAAGAAAAACGTGTTTGGTTATGAAATTAGAAAATGATTTCTAGAAAATGAAAACAAAAAACAAATGAAAATATGAAAACATCTTATGAAAACATAAAAAGATGTTTTCAGTGTTTTCATTAAAATTTATTTTGAAAAATTATAAAATAGGAAAATATGGGATTTAAATTTTTAACTTAACTTACATAAGGTTGAATCCTTCTAACATTTTTTAAAATTAATGGTATCTGAAATCCTCAAATTTTTACAAAAAAAAAATAAAATCAAAATGGCCCTGAATTTTTTACACTTTATGTAGTCCTTAACTTGATCTTTTTAATATTTTAATTTGTAGTATTTTTATATCTAATGTATTTTTATATCTTAATAATTGCTTATATTTTAAAATTTAAATAATGTATTATTTTTAAAAAAAAATTGAATAAGTCCTCAAAATTAAAAAAAATCAATTATGCCCTCAAACTCAGCCAAAAAAATTAAGCTTATCTATCATATAATCGTCCATATGTACTATCATAACAATATCGTGAACTTTCACATCAAAATATTGTAGATTGTCATATAAGTTTCATAAATTATCATGTAAGCATCGTGATGGTCAACTTCCTTCGGTCAAAGGGTTAGATTGATTTTTTTTTATTCTCGATTTAAGGCTCACATTAAACACAAAAAACATATAGAGACTACACTAGTTTCCCCCCCAAAAGTTTGAGAGCCTCAATTATCACTAAACATATTTTTATTTTGATGACACTTTTGTGTGTTCTTGCTTACAACAACATTTTTCTTATTTATTAAACGTAATTGATGTCCAGACGCATTAACATTATATTATTATTATAAATTAAAATAATTTTTGTGGTATGATATTTCTTATCAATTTTATTATTTTTTATTTGCATAACTCATATATTAAAGTTATGTAATGATTTTTAACAATTATAGTTTAATTTAATTATTTAATAACTATTTGTTCATTTTGTTTTAAAAATTTAGATATAAAATATATTTTTATTATTTTTATTTCTGGATTCAAATTTTCATTTATATTAACCATTCTAATTTTCAGAAAAATGAAAATGAAAACTATTTTCTAAAACAAAAACAGAAAATATTTTCTAGAACAAAACAAACCCTTAAGCTTTGTAGTTTCAGTTTTAGCGAAAAAAATTAAATTTATTTTACGAATTGATTGATATTTCTTTTTAAATTTTGTAAGTATTTATGTCATCTTATCCTATCATTTACAAATATAATTTTCACATTTAATTTTAAATTATATCGATAATTATTATTTTTAAATAATTTATAAATATAAATCATAAAGAACATTTAGAATAATAACTCTTTTAATAAAATTGGTTGGTCAACGTAAAACATTTTCCTGATCAACATAATTTCCTTTGTGTTTTCTGAAAAATGACTTACGGTCTGATTTTCCGTAAGTCATTTTCCGAACTTTTCACCTCAAATAATAAATACTCAAAATAATTTTATTTTATGAATTTAATATTAATAAAATATTTTAATATCATTTTAATAAAAATATTAATTATGAAAGTATTTAAAATATATTTATTAATATTTCTAATAATATAATATAATATTTTTAATATTATAATAAAATAATCAATTATATTATAATAATATAAGATATTATATTTTTATTTTAATAATATATAATAAATTATTAATAAATTTATATTATTTATTAATTTCATATAAATAATATTATTAAATTATTAATAATGAATAATGTTAGTTATATTTTTAATATTAATCTAATAATCTAATAATATTTTAATAAATATATTTAAAATATACTAATTAATATTTTTAAAATATAATATAACACTATTACTTTAATAAATAATTAATATAATTTATAATATTTTCATTTAAATAAAATATACCAATATTAATATTTTTATTAATAAAATTATAAAAATAATATTTTAATAATAAGTAAATTATTTTAATATTTTAAAAATAATAATATTAAGTTTTATGATAAATAATATTATTTATTATATTTAATATTTGTAATAAATAATTTTTAAAAAAATTCATCAACTAGTGAAAAAAAGTTTAAACAACATCTTTCAAAAATCGTTAAAGTTCTTAATATTAAAATAGAGTCGGCTAATAAAGGGAGCACCATGAGTGAGGTCTCCCATTTTTTTTATAATATCCCTTCTTTTATGGAGTTTTTAATTTTTTAATCTTACTTTTTATTTTTATAAATGACACATTTAATTTTTTTTCAATTTTATTTTTTATATTTATAATTAAAGTCCTTAATTTTTTGTAATATCATTTTTTACCTTTATAGTTAAAGTTTCTAATTTTTTTAATTTCATTTTCTACATTTATAATTAAGGCTAATTTTTTTCAATCTCACTTTCTACCTTTATAATTGATGTTCCTAATTGAGGCCTCTAATTTTTTTTTTAATTTCACTTTTTACATTTATAATTGAAGCCTCTATTTTTTTCAATCTCACTTTTTACTTTTATAATTAAGGCCCTAATTTAATCATTTTCTATAATTTATTAATATAATATTAAATTAATTTTCCAAAACAATAAAATATATTTTCGTTCTGTAAGTGCCCTAATTAATTTTCCAAAGTAATAATATTAAATTAGTATAATATTAAGTTAATAATCAGATTATAAAAATCTTGTATATCAAAATAACATTTTAGTTAATAAATTTAAAGTTTTACTTTCTAGACTTAAAATATTATGTAATACATACTAACTTAAAATAAAAAAAAATCAGATTATAAAAAACTTGTATATCAAAATAAAATTTTAGTTAATAAGTTAAATTAATTCATAGAACTAATAAATACACAAAAGGACATACAGACCAACTAACACACAAACTCTAAACATACCAACAAAACTAGAGGTTAGTTATTTGTTTGTTAAAACCTTACAATTTAATCTTGACTTTCTTTTTAATATTAACTTCATTCGCTTTGTCCTACCAGTAGGTCGTTATTAACTAAACCATCGTTTCAATAAATAAACATGTTAAATATATATTATTCATTTATTAAAATTTGGGGTAAACTATATATTTAGTCATCTAACTATGCGTATGATTCTATTTTGATACTCAACTATTTATTTTTTGAAATCATATTAAATGTTACATTTTAGTTTCATTTTATTCCACCATTAAAAATAGACAGTAATATTATTATGTCATTATAAGATAATGTCACATCATCATTTATTTATTTTTTAAATATTATATTAACAGTTCTGTTAATTTTTTAACGATGTATGTCCAAAATAAAACTCAAACGTAATATTAGATATGACTTTTGAAAAAAAAAATAAGTGATCAAAGAAAAATCGTACATATAATTGAAAGGTTAAATACATAGTTTACGTTAAAATTTATAGGGTAAACTATACTATTGATCACTCAATTATTTAATTATTATCAATCGAACTACTAAACGTTAACATTTGACGAAAATATTGATATGAGTTCTCAATACTTATTAATTAATCTTTCAATTAGATGAAATCTGATTCGAGGATTTTTTTTAATTTTAATTTATTTAAAATTAAATATTTTTATTATCGAAGCAGGTGAGATCAATCACCGGCTGATTAAACAGTGGTATGGAGAGTCGAACCAACACCCAGCAGACTAACAGGTACGCGTCTCAACCACTGCACTAGCTTCTACATCATGTAAAGTTTTACAACACTATTTATATAGCTTATATTACTAATAACATAAAAAATAAATTAAAATTAAAAAAAATTAACCCAGGTCTCTAATATGAAGTAGAAAGTAGTTAGCCACTAGAATAAATCACAAATTTGATGTTAAGTTAGAATATTTTATATATGAAAAGGAAAAAATTATAAAATAAATGTAATAGGTATTATTTAAGTTAATGAAAAGTTATTGAAAATATTATATATTTAAATAATATTTTATATTAAATATAGTTAACGCTTAATTTTTAATAAAAATATTTAAAAGTTTAATTCAAAACTTGATAAGATTTCAATCTATTTTCAATTTAAAATTTAAAATTTAAAATTAATATTTAATGTCTTCATTCATACTTAACATCTTTTTTACAGGTATGTTTAATATATATTTTTTTCAAATTTAATATCCTATAAAAGGTCAAAAAGCACACACTTTCATTTCAATTCCGGAGAAGCTCTAGAGAAACATATATTCAGTTTTCATTTTTTTTCCAATTTGTTTCCGATGTCTCATGTGTTCTGGATTCTGATTTTGAGCCTTTCGATCTTAAAAGCGACGTCGTTGAAAGCGGGATCGCGGACGGTAATTCGAGTGATTGGCGATAATAACGGCGGCGGCGGCGATCCGAAGGACTATGGCGTTGAATTGAACGCTACGAACTTCGATGGAGTTCTCAAGGACACTCCCGCCACTTACGCTATAGCCGAATTCTTCGCTAACTGGTTAGTAGTCCTTTAATTTTCAGCCATTCTTACCTGCACAACTGTTTTCAATCTAGAGCTTTAAGAACTGGAAATATATTATCGGTTTTCATAGTTTTATGTGGTGATAGTGTTGACCATGGAAGAAAGCTGAGAAGAAAAACCGAACAATTTGAACGGTAGTGTTCAGATCGACTTTCGTTCGGGTTTGAATAACAATTTTTTTTTTATTCAAACCAAATTCTATTTTTTTATTTCATATTTTTATTAGGTATAACTTTTTTATAATTTGCAAATAATTTATAAATTAGTTGAAAACAGAAACTTTAAATATTAAAAAAATTGAAAAATGATGAACCGAGCTGATCCGAACCCTTGGAATTTGGTTTGGTTGGTTCGGTCAAAAAGCTTGCCGTATCAATAATTTTTTTCCCAGATCAAACGAGCCAAACCATCATCACAGGACTTCTAATTTAAGTTAATGAAATAGTCTGCAAATATCGAGAGAGAGATCTTGAACCTTTATCAGTTTCCTTGGATACAATTGAATGCATTATTTTATATAACTGCTTTAATTTAAGAATTAGAGGGATGGCTTTGTAGGGAATTGAATTTCATTTATTTCGTTGACCATAATTGGTTATTTTTATCTTTCCGTTTGCTTTTCATATAATTGAATGCATTAAAATTATAATATATAATTTACGGAATTTAAGAATTAAGGGATGGCTTTGTAGAAAACTGAATTTATTGTTTAGTTCACTGTTCAAAATTGGTTCTTTTTCTTTGTTTCCATAACACTTGCGTGAAATTTTAAAATTGAATGTGCCATTTCCCCTCCTAGGCTTCCTCTGTTGGTTAGGAAATTGACACCTTTGATAAACATAAATACGATTGTGCTCTTTTTTTTAATCAGGAAGTGTGAGGGTATCGTTATGTCCATTTAAATATGAAAAGAGTTGGCAAACCAACTAATGGTCACGGTTGTTTATATTTCACAGCCAGAATAACTAATCAACATATCCAGAATCCAGTTATGATCAATATAATTTGTTTCCTAGTAGCTGCTGTGTTCACTCAATTTTTTGTCGTTTATGAAAATTGCACATTCCTATACATGAGTGCATTTCCTTGCATGCGTAGCTAGCAGTATAGTTGCATCCTTCACGCTAGTTGTTAAATGACAAATCCTCTCTTCTGTGTGATTATTACTTTTCAGGTGCCCTGCTTGCAGAAATTACAAGGTACATCATGGTCTATTTTGCACTCTGTGTTTTTTTTATAGATTCACTTTCTTATGATTCGTGCAGCCCCATTATGAAAAAGTTGCTAGGCTTTTCAATGGACCTGATGCGGTGCATCCTGGTATCATATTGATGGCTAGAGTCGATTGTGCATTAAAGGTATTCATTTTGTCTTTTGGATACCTGCAAAGTGCAGCCACACGGAAATAGTACTTTAAAAATCCAGGTTCTGTCATAGCACATGTTTTCCTCATTAGCTTAATGCTGGTATTTCAGATGCAGTTGAAAATGTTTTCTGGCATTCTGGCCTTCCCCAGTTTAGTGTAAAGTTGTCAATATGAAAATTAAATAAAAGTAGCACTTTAACATCGTTCTGGGTTTTAGTTATTTTTGTGAGTTTTGAAGAGTTGGAATGTTACCATGTACTGTGGCTGTTCTTTTTTGGCCATGTATTTTGGTTTACTTATCTAGCCTTGTACTTTTATGTAGCCACTAAATAAAATAGTGCATTCCTTCTTGAGGTTCACTCTTTCCGACTCTTGTTTATAGTTGTTGAAAAACTGTCTTGTTAATTTAAGTTTGGATCTTTGACTTCTCTGGCAGCACAGATAAATACCGATCTTTGTGATAAGTTTTCTGTTGGTCACTACCCTACACTGTTTTGGGGTCCTCCTAAGAAGTTTTCCTCAGGCTGGAAACCCAATCAAGAAAAAAGTGAAATACGTGAAATTGATGATGGGCGAACAGCAGAACGCTTGCTTAATTGGATCAATAAGCAACTAGGCAGGTATGTATGAGGTATCTACATTCACCACTTATTAAATGTACATCATTTTTATACTCTGAGCTAATGATCTCTTGGAATTATGGAATTTTAAACTAAATGCAATTATGAGGGCCTTACCATCTGTTATCATGAATGAGGTTTTTGTTTTTTTTAAAAAATGTTGACCTGTACTGGTACATTTGACAATTGCTCGATAATCTGTTTGTTAAAAGAGCGCTATTTACATAAAATTCCTAATTACTATTAACAGTACACTGCATGCAGTAAGACATTTTGATAGCTGAAAGAATATAAGATTAACTTTTAAATATGATTTTGTGCGGGATGCATTCTTCAGATTCAATTGAAGAATATAAGATTAATTCATTAAAATTGTGACTAATATTAATATGACATAACATATTGGAGAATGATGTATTCTTTAGATTCAGTTTAAGCGTATGCTAATGTACATAGAACTTGCCAGCATGTTGTTACAAATCCTTGAGACAGAGTGACAGACTATGATTGAATAGTTTCATGCATTGCCAGATGTTTATTCCGCACCTAAGTGTGCATAAGTGGGAAAGACAAAGTGTTTAGTTTCTATAGTATTTAGTTTCTATAGTGTTTAGTTTCATGCAAAATGCAGAATGGGTTGGGAGGGGATTGGAGCTTTGAACCTTCTTTTGATGGTAAGGCATGGCAACCGTCAACAGAGGGGAGGTTCTGGACTGAAGAAATATGCTTCTGTTCTGATAATGTACTTGTAAGACGAGGGTGATTGATTGATATGCAACTGAAGCTAATGCCAAAGATTTGCACTTATCTATGATACCTTTACTGTCAGCTTTTGTCATATGATTTATGCTGCTTGACTCCCTTTCAGTTCATATGGTTTGGATGATGAAAATTTTGAAAACGAGCTTCTTCCGCCCAATATATCAGACCCTGGACAGGTATTTTTGTGCACTTCTAATTTGCTTCTTGAACAATGTATGTTTGAGGTTTTCAATTTGCTTAGGATTTTAACTTTACAATTTGGCTTGTGGAAGATTGCTCGAGCCATATATGATGTGGAGGAGGCAACCGCAACTGCCTTTGACATCATTTTGGAACATAAGGTGGGAATCTCTAGTGTAGATTTTCCCTCTCTATCTCATGTGTATATGTTTATGGAAAAAAATTCCCGTCTTCTAAAGTTGCAACATATGACGTCCTGCAGATGATTAAATCAAAAACTCGAGCTTCACTTATAAAATTCATTCAGCTTTTAGTAGCTCATCATCCTTCCAGGAGGTAAAGATCCTTCTTTTCATTATGACCTTGGCTTCATATGGTGTTTCCTTAATTGTGCTATTATTATATATTGCATTAGGTGTCGAAAGGGAAATGCAGAAGTCCTCGTCAACTTTGATGAATTGTGCCCATTAGATATGTGGTCATCTGGTAAAGTTGATGATGTCACCAATAACTTGAAAGAGGTGCTACATGATTTCCAGATTTGTGGAGAGGAAGTTCCTCGTGGATATTGGGTAGGTTCTAATAGGAAAATCGGATTGCTATTTAGTATTTTCTTCCCTTGCATATATTTGAAAGTGTTAACATTAGTAGCATCATGTCTGCCAAGTTTAAGCTCTATAAAATATGGATACCTTTTGTCAATCAATTGATTCCTTCTAAGTTTAAACTCTATAAAATATGTATACCTTTTGTTTTTAGTCTAAGATCAAATATATACTTTTGATAATATCATTTGGGGCCTCTCTTTTTAATGGTTGCTTTATGCCATTTGGATGTTCATTTTTGCAGATGTTTTGTCGTGGTAGCAAGAACGAAACCAGGGGCTTTAGGTAATGATTTAAAATTCTGAATTTTTAGCTCATACATTCTTTTTAAGAAAAAAATTATACTTGTCTAATCGGGATCTCTCAATGTATCAAAATTGGTTTACCCTGTCAAACTAGCTGTCTCTCATAGTTATTTGTTCCAATAATTTGGTAACTAAGAATATTTCTTTTTCTACAATTATGAGCCTTGTATATTAAACCGATAAGTAAACCCACTTCTGTTAATTTGGGGGCAACTCAGGCATATCATTTTAACAAGTACCTCTCCAATTATTTCAATTTTATGAATGTTTATTCTAAAATTTAACAAGGTGTTGGAGCAAGTGTTATCTCCTTTTTTAACCCCACTCTTATTCCCTATGTTAACAAGGTGAGAGCTGAGTCTTTCCTTTGATGAAAGCACAAACGGTAGGGCTACTATGCCTATGATGTCTGATAGGTCCTTCTTGGTACATGCCTCGTGAGGGGTAGGATTGAAGTGGAGATAAATTAAATTTCATATTTGTTAAATTGGGACAACCTAGATATGTAAATGTAATAAGACCCTCTCCACCACCTGTTGTCAATTAGTTTTAGGTTGGATATCCGTTCTAAATTTTTACGCATGAATTCAATTATAGTAGAGATTCCTTCACCTCTAATTGATTTTCTAAGGTGCCAATAATTACTCATGTTTGTGTGCAGTTGTGGATTGTGGGTTTTGATGCATTCACTTTCAGTGAGGATTGGGGATGAAGAAAGCCAGTTTGCGTTTATATCTATATGTGATTTTATTCACAACTTCTTTATTTGCGAGGATTGTCGTCAACATTTTTACGAAATGTGTTCGAGGTAAATTCAACTTCAAAGCAGTTTATTTTCTTAAATATTCTTAAGTTTGTTTCATCTAATTTACAAATATGCAATTTGTAGAGTTACTAGTCCTTTCAAGAAAGCGCGTGAATTTGCACTTTGGCTGTGGAGTGCCCATAATGAGGTTAATGAGAGATTAATGAAGGAAGAAGCATCTCTTAAAACCGGAGATCCCAATTTCCCGAAGATTATTTGGCCTCCGAGGCAACTTTGTCCTTCATGTTATCTCTCACAAGGTCCCAAAGATAAAGGAAGCAATCAGATCGATTGGGACAAGGATGAAGTGTTCAAATTCTTAGTCGGTTATTACAGAAATACGCTTATATCTTTGTACAACGAAACGGGTCTTCTTGCCAATGATAGGAGAACCAATGTTACTCTGGATGATTTGGTGGCCTCAACAAACGCTGTTGTGGTGCCTATAGGGGCTGCATTGGCTATTGCTATTGCTAGCTGTGTGTTCGGTGCTCTTGCTTGCTACTGGCGATCTCGGCAGAAGAATAGGAAGTATTACCATAAACTATACTATTTAAAGAACATATGACTATTATGAAGATTCACGTACTCTCAAATTGGATCATAAGAAATACAATGAAATCAGAAATGGGGGCTAAAATGACTGAAAATTGTTCAAGGAAAATTATAGAGGGGTTTAGATGCTTTGAACTGTAAATTTCTCATTTCATTTGCTTGCACCACTTTTCAGGCCAAGGAGAAGCTGGAACTAGGATTTAGGCAGCAGAAAATACACAACCTTTTAAGATGTCTGGTCCAATGAGCTCGAACTTGAAGTAAAAATCCAGGTTTTAGCCCTCAGCCCTGTATCAACTGTCCCTCGGGAGGTCCTATTCTTTACCGGTTATTTTTCTTTTATGAAGCTCATCATGAAATATATTATTGGGTACTATAGATTAACATATATATTTTTTATTTTGGGAAAGAAATGTCCAATATCTGTGTTCCTAACATCGTAATGGGATCACATTTGACATGCTGCGTTGAGGTTTTGTGAATTATCCGATTCATGCCTTTCGATCGCTTCCTTGACTCTACATGATTTAGTTATTCAGAGCTACTAGTTTCTTTTGTTGTTTGATGCTAAAGAGGAAAGAACTATAGTATAAGTTGAATGTGGGGGATATTTGTATAAACCTCTTACAGAAGTTTTATCATGTGGAACTATGTTATACTCCTCTTTGCACTGAGTTGCCCCAAAGGCCATAGAGGAAGGTCGATCCGCCCATACATCGGCATCCGGGCGTAACTATTTTAGCATTTATTTTTTGAAATATTTTAGCCCAACGTTTTATTTTTAGGACAAAAAACCTTTACATTTTGATTAAATAGTTATATTGACTTGTTTTCTTTTTTAGAGCATTTTAGTCTCCAATAATTTATTTTAGGGCATTGATTGTTTGTTGACCAATTATTTTTATCTATATAGGGGTTTTTTGTCTCAAAATAAAACGATGGAGTCAAAATATTCTAAAAAGTAGTACGGGTTAATGTGATTATTAAATTAAATGGTATGAACATTTTTTATTATTGAGTCAAAAAAATTATTTAAGAGTTTGGGTCTGAAGGAGAATATTCAAAAAGACTGTTATGACTTATCAGTGTTTAGAGTGTGTATTGTTTGTTTGTCTCAGTTAAGGTGTCTGGATAACCCCCGATAGACATTGTTTCTCCCGGTGGTAAACTATTTAAATAGACTATATCCATGGATTCTGGGAAAAAAATTAATTTTTCACCAATTTAAATTTAATTAAAATAAAATATTAACAAAATATTTTCATTTAAAATTTTTAATTATGAAATATAAATCTATTTATATGTTTTTATTTTAGAAGCCAGCAGATCAGATCAAGCTGGGGCTGGAATTTATCTTTGAGTAACACAACATTGATCCAGTTTTGTCAAGATGTTAAAGTTTGTAGCTGTTTTCACCCGCCTAATATAGGAACTGGACCAGCTTTTGGGTTCTATTGCCGAGGGTAGTAAATGAGCCGAGTTAAGATCGAACAATATTGAGTTCAATTCGATTTAAAAAGTATAAAATTAAATTTGATTTGATTCAAAAATTCATGAGCTTAAAATTATCATGTTCAATTCAAATTTGAAATAAAGAATATAAGTTCGACTCTAAAGCTTGCAAGTTTAAAATTTTTAAGTTTGATTCGAAATTAAAAAACTAGACTCGAATTTAGAAAAATTTGAACTCGGAATATTTTTCAACTTTTCTCAATTGAATATCGAATTCAAACATAAACCTTAAGTATATGATAGTCTTATATTGCATTTTTAAAATAATAGCAATATATAAATATTAATACTAATAATAATTTAATTTAAAAAATATGAAAAATAATATATTATTTTTTCCAATTGTTTGTAAATTTTTTTGAATCGAATATTTAATAGGTCGTTTTAGTTCATTAAAAATTTAAATTGGGTTAAAGCTGGAGTCAAATTTATTCAATTTGAAAGTTAGCTGGGCTTTGATTAAGATAACTTCAAATAGTTCAAGATGAAGACAACCTCAAATACTTCAAGAATCTAAATTGAATTATTTTTTAAAGCTAATGGATAAAAATTTAATATTCGTTAAAATGAAAATTTAAATAAATATAAAGTGATAAAATAAGTAAATAAGAGGAGGTGGTATCTATCCTATCTAACCCCTCTTATGTTTAAGACCAAATCGTCTACTTATCAAGCCGTCATTGGGAGGCTGGTAATGAGCCAACTTTAGCAGCAATGGTGACGGAGCTGGTGGTGGATGCTGTTACTTTAACAGGGTCACCGCCATGCGCTATGGTGGTGACACGCTCGTAAGGCCGAATGCAGGGAGCGGTTCACAGCTATGAGGCGAAATAACCGTCGGCGGCCCTACTTTCATGGCCCTAAGCTCCTCCACTTCGCTTTGAAGCCGTCGGTTCTGTTCCGTCAATGACCCCAACCATCTCTTTAGGTACTCGCACTCCATATCCGTCTGCTTCAGCTTGCTCCTATATTTGGTTGATTTGTCATTAACATAATATATATATATATATATATATATATATATATATATATATATATGTGAGGTTACAAAAATATCGTTAAATAAGTAAAAATAAACTATTGAAATTAGTAATAACAAATGATGAAATATTTAAATAATAATAATAAAGGAGTGGGGAATATAAATCTTTTAAATAAGTAAAAGCTTTTCGTGGTTATCTTTTTCATTATTTTAAACTTTTTTTCCAAAAAAATAGTATAATAATTTCAAAGTTGGATTTTATTCATATTAAATAAATAAAGTGCATTTATTATGTTCTTAAACGCCAAACTGTTACAGTAAATACAACCAAATGATCTACCAATGACTCAGAAAAGCAGCAATTTCTATTTCAGTAATAATTCTGTAATCTGCTACCAGTTCGTCAATTCCTTTTTCATGTCATAGACGTTTCATTAAAGCCATGTCCAAAAGATGGTGGGTCAATGTACCACTTTATTCATTATTATCATTTTTTAATATTTTATAATCATCTATATCTAATTTATTAAATAATCAATTCAAATTATACATTAAAAAAATCTGTTATAAGATAGTTTTCTCAACCTAATCTATTCTATATACAGAATGTTAAGGTCCAAATTTCTATACTTAACAGATCTAACATTATATTTAATGAAGAAAAACTTAATAAATTTTAATATTTAATATAAAAACTTGAATCTTAAAATAAGAATAATATAAGAGGTTTATTTAAATTTTTGGTGTAATATTGTCAATTGGAGCAATGATTATTATAAATTTCGATGTTTTAGATTTTTAAGACAAAGCATCATTGTTTTGATTCTCAAGCTCTCCCATGTAATGAAATCAAACCAAATCATTTTCTTTTAACTGATACATATTTACATGCATGATGTTAAAAATTAATTATTCTTTAAGGTTTTTTTTGTTGTTGCATTTAATACGTATAACAAGAAAAATAAACCAAACATTACCTAATTTCATTCCATGTTTTATAATGTTAAAATTATGTTAGAGGAAAATAGTGAACTTTTCATTCCATACATTAACGCTTATACTATGATATGTATGTATGTAATTGTAGGAATTCCTTAATTTCATGGCATTAAATTCCTTGATTTTATGTAATAATATTACCGTGATAAAAAATAATCAATAATAATTAAAATATGACGTTATAAACTCAAATTAAATTCATTGTAAAGATTATATATTATAAGAATGATAGCGATATATCAACTTCCCAGGACAAAGAATGTGTAGAACTGATTCAGATTCTGCATACTTTCTGACATTCTGTCAATATTTTTATGATATTTACCCTCATCTACTTTTTATAATAAATTCCCAGATTTTTTAAAGAAAATGAAATAATTCAATGAATAAATGTATAATGTGTATTATTGTACCTGGCTCGACGATTCTGGAACCAAACCTCAACCTGTCTGGGCCGAAGCTTCAGTTGCAAAGCCAATGCTTCTTTCTGTTTCTGGGGAAGAAAAAGGTCAAAAACATGTGATGATGATCTGATTAAATCCTTGGAGATTTTGAGAAGAAAAAGAGTTGGGTTTTTGGGACCATGTTTGATTTATTACATACAAGGTTTAGGGTATGGTTTTGTCTGAAACTTTCTTCGAGCAAACGAGTCTGTTCTTTCGAGAGACGAAGCTTTTTGCGAGGACCGACGCCATTGATAGTTTCTTCAGCGATGGTTGATGATGGTGTCATCCATTCGTCTTCGGATCCTGCTGGCGGTACTTGGTTTATATCCAAATCTCTCACTGGATAAAGAAAAACAAAAAATCAATCCATGTTATTAAAGATCATCGTATCAAAAAGGAAAAGAAAACATGGGATTTTCGAGGGGATTGATGTTGTGTTTTTGCTTACCGGAAGAGGAGACAGATATTGTTAACTCCAAGTTAGAAGAGAAGGTCGGTGAGACCGCCATGAAAGTTGCAGACAAAGAAATAAAGGGATTAAGGGGCTGATGTAAAGACAGAAAAATGATGAAGTTTCTTTTTAATAAATAAAAAAAAGGAGATAAATAAGGGATATGGAGATGTTAGAGAATTTAATAGGAAAGGAAACGATGGGATAAAGGTCAAAGTCATTACTAGATAGAATAAATTAAATTAAATCATATAATTTTTTTATAGTCTAACTGATTATAAGATACTATTGTCTAAAATCAATTAAATTATTCAAATTCATATTAGATAAACACGTTAACATCGATAATTCTTTATTTTTAAATTTTTTTAATCGTGTAAGGTGATTATAAGATAATATTTTTTTAATAATATTTCTTAATCATTGATAATACGCACTTTATATATACAAATGCTCGAATTTAAATTTTCTAAAAAAATTAATTAACTTAAAAGCCTATTTAGAAAGTAATATTATTTAATTATATAATTTTAATATTTAATAATCTAAACAAATTTATTAAATTATTTGAATTTACATATAAACTTGTCAAGGTGGACAACTCTGAGTATAGGTTTTTCTTAATATTAATAAGTGGGAGCTGTGGTATTTGACTGTGGTCGTTAAGTCAAAAGGTTTGACCAGTCTGATACGAGACACGTGTCAAGAGAAAGGAAGATCTTGGAGGGTGTAGGAGAAAAACCAGCATGTCTTGTCTAATAAGTGGCGGTCGATTCAAGGGTTCGCTGATGAGATGATTGGGTGCTTAGACTGGACTGACTCACTGAGTCTGAGGTTGCCGGGGCAGAGGATTTTAACTAAAATAAAAAATAAAAATAGAAATTACAGTTATTGAAGAATTGAATGCTACTTTACTTGTTTGACAGGTTCAGAGCAAACTGTAACGTCTGAATTTACACCAAGTGCGTGCATACATACATACAATACGTAAATGAAATATAAAGTATAACGGTTAAATTATTAAAAATAAATGTAATAATTAAATTATCCTTAGTTAATATCATCTGTAGTTCACACCTCAATTTGCAAATTAATTATATTTCTTTCTCTGGAATTCAGATTTCCAAGTGTGTTGGTGTGAGGGTGATTTATTACCATTTCAATTAGGACAATTAATAGTGATAAATTAAAATTGAGAAGAAAATTAAACAAAAGTGGACTTCATTGTAGTTGATCCTGGAATTCACTGTATAAATCTCCATGGGAAAAGGAGCATGGGACGGCAATGATGGGGTTAGGAGTAGGGGAAGACACAAAACATTGGAACAAGTGGGGCCCACAGTTGAT